GGGTTTTGAAGCATTCCAAGCTTGGGGCTTGAAAGTTAGGAGCCCTTAGCCCTTAGCAGTTAGCCCTGGAGCGTTAAACCTTTAACGCTAAACTCTAAGTTTAGGGTTTAGGGTTTAGGGTTTGGGGTTTGGGGTTTAGGGTTCATGGTAGCTTCAGTATAGATGTTTAGGCGTCGCGTGGGCGCGTAACACTTCCCTAGAGGTTCAACGGCGGCAGCCCCGAAGCCTCAGACCCTAAACCCCAAACCCTGCACCCGCACTGCAAATCTTAGGCAAGGCTTTGTTTTCCGGAAGACGTTCGAGCCCGAGCCCTAAACCCTAAGCCCCTAAAAGCACCCTAAACGTTAAACCTTCAACCCCGACATCTGTGAATCTCGTTGGAAGCACCGAACGTGGCTTAAAGTTGCGGGCTTGGGCCATTGTCACCCGCTGGGCGAATAGGGCTTAGGGTACAGAATCTCCTGAACCCCCAAACCCAAAAACCCAAAAACCCAAAAACCCAAAAACCCAAAAGCCCTAACCCTAAACCCTAAACCCTAAACCCTAAACCCTCAACCCTCAACCCTCAACCCTCAACCCTCAACCCTCAACCCTCAACCCTCAACCCTCAACCCTCAACCCTGAACCCTCGACCCTAAACCCTAAAACCCCAAACCCGGTAATCTCGCAAATCTGGTGAGTGGCCCGGCTCTTGGCTCTTTCTGCAAGGCGTCTCATCTGTGCCTTCCTGGGTGAAGCCCCTGCGCTCGGGCGAAGAAGTTTCTTGGGGTGTGTACGGGGATTACAATTATCGGGTTGAAATGTGTTTAGGGTTTGGGGTTTAGGGTTCCATTTTTTTCATGTGCTATTCGAGAGCTGCGCGAAGTTTGATGAGAGTGTTTGGTGGATGTTGGCTCACAGGTTATTAAAGGTTCTCAGAGATTGATTATGGGTTTAGGGTTTAGGGTCTAGCGTTTAGGGTTTAGGGTTGGGTCGAGCAGTTTCTCGTTTAGAGTCGCTGTTTATCGAAAATACCCACCCACCCGGAGTTCCCATAACATTAAGACATACAAAGTTTCTTCTTATTATTAGGATGGCTCAACAACAAAACTAAGAGGGTTCGCAAGGGTTTAGGGTCTCAAGGGTTTGGGGTCCCAAGGGTTTATTTAGGGTTTCAAGGGTTTAGGCTCAAGGGTTTAGGGTCTCAAGGGTTTAGGGTCTCAAGGGTTTAGGGTCTCAAGGGTTTAGGGGCTCAAGGGTTTAGGGGCTCAAGGGTTTAGGGTCTCAAGGGTTGAGGCCCCCAAATACGACAGTGGTGCCAGGATCCACAAAGGACAGAACGGCCGCCAACACTGCAGCCCTCTAGCCCCAACACCTGGCAATAGAGGTCCAGGGTTCAAGGTTCGGTTTCGGGTAAACCCTAAACCCTAAACCCTAAACCCTAAACCCTAAACCCAAAACCCTAAACCGCTCTAAACCCTGGGGGCTGCCATCCGAGGTCATGGTGCCTCATGATGCGACCAGCATCCAAGAGGCCCTGGCCATGTCTCCGGCAGAAGTCATCATCACGTCCGGCAGCGCCGCTGCAAGGGTTTAGGGGTTAGGGTTTAGGGTTTACGGTTTAGGGTTTAGGGTTTAGGGGGGATTCCTACCCCCTGAGCACGATCAATGCGCACATGTGACCAGGCGATGCTACCCTGGGCCAGGGCTCGGGAGGACTCCAAGACTCCGATGATGCTCATGATGCTCATGATGCTCATGATGCTCATGATGCTCATGATGCTACCCTCGCCGGCTTTGGGCCCGGCCCCGGGAAGATTTATATGACCGTGTCTTGTGTTTGCCTCCGTGCTCCAAGAGAACGCAGGCAAACACAGCAGCTGTCGTTGCAGGATCTTCATATGCAGAAGATACGATGAGTTCGGGCCCCTTGAGGCTTATGATGAGGATTTGGGGTTGACGCACCGGAAGGTTGGGCTGAAGCTCTCAGATTCCCAACACCGTCTAGGTGTCATCCGCTCATCCACTCATCCACTCATCCACTGATCCATTCATCCATCCATCCATTCATACATTCATTCATTGATCAATTGGTTGATGCACTCATTCGTTCACTCACTCGCTAATTCATTCGTTCATTCGTGCGTTCATTCATTCCTTCACTCATTCGTTCATATCAGGTCGACAAGGGCTCTGAAGGTTTACCAAGGGCCCTAAGCCCTGCAGCTTAAGCCGCCCGAAGGTTGATGGAACTTTGGCAGGAGCACACCTCAAAAACAAAGTTGCCCATCTTACGAGGCCACCGCACCCCTCCAAACTGGAAACTGTACTCCCCCAAAGCCTCAAATCCTACAATTCCGAGACCCTTTAGACCTAGAAACCCACAAACCCTACAAGCCCTCTCCCTGTAAACCCTGAAAGCCCAAAAAGACAAGCTTCCGAGCTGTTTGACGGTACTCTCCGAAGCTGCCATAGCCAGAGACCCCGAAACCTCAGCAGACCCTCAACCCGCAAAATCCCTAACCCAGACCCTCCACCCCTCCGCCCTCTAAAACCCACTAGGCCGCCCGCTATGCTGGGGGGTGGCGATGGCGCAAGCCGACCCAGGTCGTTCGCCGGTACCGTTCTTGTCGGGACCTGATGCTTTGAAGCGCCCCAGCCCAAGGGACCCCCTCGCCGCAGCCCAGGCTCCGCCCTGACCGCCCTCCCCTGCCTCGCTGGACTGCCTGGCCCCCCTCCCTTGCCCTTCCTGGCCTCTTCCTGGCCCCCCGCGTTTGTCTGGTCCAAAACCTCTCCTTTTCTGTAACCCGTACAAACAGCCGGGACCTGGCCTCAAACCTTTCTCTTGGCTGAAAGTGGCCATCGGTGACGGAAAGGTTTGTTTGAGCGATTGTCATGAGTTTCGGCCTAAACCCTAAAAGGATTAGGTTTGGGTGGCTTTGCCGCCTCGGACGGTGTTAAATGGCCCTCCACGATCGGGCCAAAGCTCCTCTTCGCGCCTGACGAGGCATTCGAGCCTCTGCTGCATCCTAACCTTCACCCTATCACAGCAAACCATAAACCCTAAATCTTGAACCCTAAACCCTAAACCCTAAACCCTAAACCCTAAACCCTTAACCCTAAACCCTAAACCCTGCAGTCGCCTAGCTCAGTGACTGTTTATGTATCACCCTAAACCCGATCCTGCGCTCGGAAGGCCTGCCCGAACCCTGGCCCGGGCCCCCGTTGGAGGCCTTCTTGGATCTTCTGGACACTGTCCCGACTGCAGCCTTCTTTGCTGGACCAGGGGCCTTTTCGGCAGCTCCGCCAGGAGCTGCTAAAAAACGGGAGGCCCCTGAAAGGGTCCTGGAGGAGGCCCAGAGACTGCTGAGGCTGCAAAGATCTGGGCTGAAGGCTTCATTGATGTCCTTCGCAAGGCGGTCTGTCGCCATGTAGCCTTACAAAACAATGAGAAGGCCCTCCGGCCGAAGACGCCCCCCAACGCAAACGCTGATTTGGCTCTTGCAAGCTTCTAGATCTTTCTAGCAAGGGGTCTTTCGCCATGCAGCCTTTACGCTCCGGCATAGAGAAGAAAAAACAATGAGAAGGCCCTCCGGCCGAAGACACCCCCCAACGCAAACGCTGATTTGGCTCTGGTGAGCTTCTAGACATGACTTTGACAAAGCCTGTTTATAGTTTATAGTAACACAGTGACATCCCGACGTCGAGAATAGAAACAATGAGAAGGCCCTCCGGCCGAAGACACCCCCCAACGCAAACGCTAATTTGGCTCTCGCAAGCTTCTAGACATGACTTTCACAAGGCGTGTTTATAGCAACAAGCCTTTCGCCATGCAGCCTTGATACCCCGACGTCGAGACTGGCACAATGAGAAGGCCCTCCGGTGAAAACGTCTCCCAATGCAAACCTAATCTTCTCTCTCGAAAGCTCGAAATCTAACATCTTTTCCAAAGCATCTTCTCAGATGTCACCTTGCAACAAGGCATCAAGCTCCATGACATAAGGAAGCGTGCTAGATGTTAGTCCGAAGCACAGGCTTGAGTGCAGAAGTGTTTGGAGGTGGGCTGGCTTTGGTTTGGCTGGCTCTGGTTTGGCTCGTTTTGAGTAGTGTTTGGGTGGTCTTGGGGTGGGCATGTCTGCACACAATTGCGTACAGCTGACCACTGCTGCACCCTAAACCCTAAACCCTAAACCTTAAACCCTAAACCCTAAACCCTAAACCCTAAACCCTAAACCCTAAGCCCTAAGCCCTAAGCCCTAAGCCCTAACCCCAAACCCTAATCCCTAAACGCTAAACCCCAGGCACCTACCGCCTGGCAGAGGGCCTCCGGCTGCGCTCGCGCGTGCGCTTGCGGGGCCAGGGCGGCGCGACCTTGGAGACGCTGGGGCTTTATAACTTTAACAGGTTCAGGGCTTAGGGTTAAACCCTAACCCCTAACCCCTAAACCCTAAACCTTAAACCTTAAACCTTAAACCTTAAGCCCTAAACCGCAAACCCTAAACCCTAAACCCTTAGGGTTGAGGGTTTTAGGAGGCTTTGAGGGGTTCAAAGGGGTGTTAAGCGGCTGAATATGGGGCTTATGCAAGGTCGCAGGGTTTTGCATAAGGGGTCTAGAGGGTTTTGTTTAGCGAGCTTGGAGTTTAGGGGTTTGCGAGTTTGGAGCTTCGCTGCACCTGAACCCCTGGTCTTTAGGGTGTTTAGGCCTTCGAAGTTTTAGGGTTTAGGCAAGGGCCTAGGCAGCTGTTTGCTAAAGAACAAAAGTATCAATATTCTTCCTTATGAGGGCAGTATAGGGATCATTCAAGATTGTTGTTTTTGGGGAGGTTCTCAAGCAAATAGTAGTAAGCCTTCATCCCGAAACCCCGAACTCTCTGCCCCCTAAACCCTAAACCCTAAACCCTAAACCCTAAACCCTAAACCCTAAACCCTAAACCCTAAACCCTAAACCCTAAACCCTAAACCCTAAACCCTAAACCCTAAACCCTAAACCCTAAACCCTAGACCCTAGACCCTAGACCCTAAACCCTAAACCCTAAACCATAAACCCTAAAAACCCCGCAAACTCAAGGGGTTCATGGCGTCCCCTCTGCCCCCCAGGCTCTGCGCACCGATTGAAGTCCAGTCGGAGTTCGGAGCGGAGCTTGCGAATCTGGAGATGGTGCCCCGGTTTTGAGGGGGCGGGGGGGGGGGGGGGGGGGGGGGGCTGGGGGGTGGGGGTGGTGGCTCTGTTGCGGGGCTTGCTTGGTGGCCTGGAGACCCTGGCCGAATCTTTTGAACTTTTCTCATTTTGAGTCTGTTGGCGCCTGAGAGTCACGCTCTTCTGTTTTACACTGTGAAGGATGAAGGGTTATTGCACGAGCTTCTCGTAATGAATCACATACAATTTCTATTTATCCTGGCCTTGAGGGTTTAGGGTTTAGGGTTTAGGGTTTCGGGTTTAGGGTTTCGGGCTTAGGGTTTCGGGCTCGTCGTTTAGGGTTTAGGGTCAGGGTGTTAAGGTATGTATCTGTAGAGGTTAAGGTATCGGTTGCTCACGATTCGGAACCCTTCCGGGGACATTCTAATCACTGAGCCCAAAACCAAAAAGCCCAAACAAAGCAAGCCCTCAACGCCAAACCCTAAGCCCAACGGGGTTAGGGTTTGGGGTTTAGGGTTTAGGGTTTCGGGTTTAGGGTTTAGGGGTTAGGGTTGAGGGTTTAGGGTTAGGGTTTAGGGTTCCCCCAAACCCCAGATCCCCCAACACCCTGAACAAACCCTAAACCCTGAATAGCGGAAAACGCTGAGCTCTAAGCCCTAAAGCCTAAACCCCACCACACCCTCCACAAAGGGAAGCCCTCCACCCCAAAACCCTAAACCGCAAAGCCCTCCATTAAGGGAAACCCTCACCCTAAACCCTAAACCCTAAACCCTAAACCCTAAACCCTAAACCCTAAACCCTAAACCCTAAACCCTAAACCCTAAACCCTAAACCCTAAACCCTAAACCCTAAACCCTAAACCCTAAACCCTAAACCTAACCCTAAACCCTAAACCCTAAACCCTAAACCCTAAACCCTAAACCCTAAACCCTAAACCCTAAACCCTAAACCCTAAACCCTAAACCCTAAACCCTAAACCCTAAACCCTAAACCCTAAACCCTAAACCCTAAACAACCCTCCACCCCAAAAGCAATGAACCTGTAGGTGGGCTGCTGCAGCAGCGGCTGTGCAGCGGACTCTGGCGACCGATGCCCGAACTGTGCCCTCCCTGAAGTGGTTTAGGGTTTGGGGTTTAGGGGTTTAGGGCTTAGAGTTTAGGGTTTAGGGTTTAGGGGTTAGGGGTTTAGGGTTTAGGGTTTAGGGTTTGGGGTTTAGGGTCGTCAGTTTTGGGGTGTTTGGGGTCTAGGATTTCGGGTTTTAAGGAGGCAGGTTTAGGGTCCTCGTACAGGGTTTATTCAGGGTTGAGGGTTCTTGGTGTGGGGCTTAGGGTTTTGGTTCTTGCATGGGCTTGGAGTTTCAGGGTTACGGGTTCAGGGTTGCGGTTCGTGTTTGCATGGGCTTTGGACTTAGGGTGGGTGAGGGGGCCTGGGGGTTGCGGTTCTTGCTTACATGAGTTGGGGGGGTTTACAGTGGTCGTTTCGGATCTAAGCCCTAAACCCTAAACCCCTGAGCCCTAAGCCCTAAACCCTAAACCCTAAACCCTAAACCCCAAACCCTAAACTCTAAACCCTAAAAGGGGGGGGGGGGGGGTGAACGGGGTGGGCGGAAGGTGCCCCCAGACATCCTGCATCTTATGCTCTGAACCCTGTCTATGCACCCTCTCCTAGTAGCACCAGACTACTTCCTTAAATCTGGCACCTTAGGCCCGAGGTACAGGGTTTCGGTTGTAGGGTTTAGGGTTTAACCCTAAAGGGTTAAACGCCCAGCTTCATGCTACGCCAGCCCCGAAACTAGACGCCTCAACACCCTACTTAGGTCCTTGGGAGGTGTATGTTCCAACTCTTGCCTACGGGCTAGATCCCACCCCAAAACCTTAGCAAAAGCAGCACGGACATGGAAAAAAGGAAGAGGCAAAGGCAAGGGCAAACTACTGCGACCCGGAGGGAGGGGCAAGAAAAGAAAGGCTGAAGTGGGGCCAGAAGGTGCTGGGCCTTCAGCAGTTGAAGGCAACAATGCAGCGGGGTCAGAAGGCAACCATGCAGTGGGGTCAGAAGGAGTTGCGCCTTCAGCAGTTGAAGATGCAGCGGGAGTTGAAGGCAACCGTGCAGCGGGGTCAGAAGCTGCGGCTTCGGTAGTTGAAGGCAACGCAAGCCCCCTATGCCTGCATTCTGCCAGGCGCCCTGCAAGCGCTGAATATTTACATGGCTCTAAGGAGTTTTCCTGAAAAGGTATAGTTGCAACCCTTAAAGGGTGTGTGTGTATATACATATATACAGATTTCTTTGCATACGGTGGATGTCGGCTACCCCAAGCGGGCCCTTGCAAAAGCGGTGCAAGATTTCCTCCATCCACAGTAGTAACTCTCTGTCATCTATATCTATACATATATATACATAAGATGATTATGTATATACATATATGTGTGCATATAGTGGAGAGGTGTGTATAAGGTATATGTACATAGTAGCGAGGGTACACAGCAATGTCAATAAAGAGCCAAAAGTCATGGCAGGTCCATGGTACTTAGTGACCAAGTATAACTGTACTTATAACCCACTTGCAGCCCCTTCAGTGCCCTAATATGGTTATAAGTACCGTTATAAGTACAGTCATAATCGTAAGCCCTAAACCCTAAACCCTTTCCCCCAAATCCTAGACCTTAAACCCTAAGCCCTAAACCCTAAACCCAAAACCCTAAACGCTAAACCCCAAACCCTAAACCTTAACCCTAAACCCTAAACCCTAAACCCTAAACCCTAAACCCTAAACCTTATACTCTGAACCCAATGTCAACAAAGAGCCAAAAGTCATGGGCAGGTCCCAGGTCGTTGGTTCGCATTCTCGGCTCCCACCTGGCACCTTGGCGGTTGGTTTAGGTTTTAGGGATTTGGGGTTTAGGGTTTAGGGCTAGGGTTTAGGGTTTAGGGTTTAGGGTTAGATGGGTTTAGGCATTTGGGGTTTAGGGTTTAGGGGTTAAGGGGTTGTGGCTTTGGACCAATCCTGCCAAAACGTAATGCAAACCCTAAACCCTACACCCTTCACCCTAAACCCTAAACCCTAAACCCTAAACCTAAACCCTAAACCCTAAACCCTAGACCCTAAACCCTAAACCCTAAATGCGGGCTTTTTTTAAATAAATAAATAAATAAATATATATATATATATATATTTTTTTTTTTAAATCTCGGGTATTAATGGCCACCCCAAATCCCAAACCCGGAGCCTTGATACCCCAAACACCCAAATAGCAATAGTAACAAACCCTAATAACCCCAATATCCCTACTAACCCGAATAACCCCAATAGCCCAAACCACCTTCGTAACCCCTGTAACCCTGACATAACCCGAATATCCCTAGCCCTAAACTTTATTAAAACCACAAAAATCACAATGCCCCTACTGTATGTATCTCTAAACACCCCCAAACCCTGTAAACACCCCCCAAACCCTGGCAACCCTAAAAACCCAAGTAACCTTAAATTCTAAAACTCAAAGCCCAAAACCCAAACAAGCCCCACGACCCTAAGCCCGAAAAATCCCTGATGCCACGCTAAACCCTTAACCCTTCTACCCTTCTACCCTTCTACCCTTCTACCCTACTACCCTAATACCCTACTCACTTTACTGACTTCAAGAACCCCCCTCAAAACCCTAGTAACCCCAAGAGCCCCAACAACCCAAATATCCCTCAACCCTAAATCCAAAAGCCCAAAACCCCAAGAACCCCAAAAGCCGCCCCAACCCTGACCCTGACCCTAGACCCTAGACCCTAGACCCTGGACCCTAAACCCTAAACCCTAAACACTAAACCCTAAACCCTAAACCCTAAACCCCAGACCCCAAACCGCACAAAGGTGGCCCTCGGCCGTGGCCTGGTGGGCTCGTTGGGCGCTTTCGGCTGCTGCAGCTGGGGGAAGGCCAAGAAGGAGTTTAGGGTTTAGGGTTTGGGGTTTAGGGTTTAGGGTTCAGGGTTTCGGGTTTGGGGTTTAGGGTTTATTGAAATCTTTAAGGGTCCAGGTCCGGGTTGGGCGTGGTGCCCTTCAACCTCTGCAAGCTGCCCTGTTCCAGGCGGAGGTCGTGCTGGATCGCTGCACCCTTCGTGGAGGCTAACTTTTGACGGGCTTCCGAAAATAGGGGTTTAGGGTTTAGGGTTTAGGTTTAGGGGGGGAGGGGGGGGGTCCCGTTGAGGGGATTCTATTCTACTTGGGCTAGAAAAGGGGGTATATACGGTATATACCCCTATTTTGGGATATGCCCTTATGAAGGGTTTATGGTTCGGGGTTTGGGGGTTTTGGGTTCAGGGTGGAGGGCTCAGGGCCTCCGAGTCAAAAATGAGTACGTTAGAGGTATGACTGCAATCATCTTTCGTGCGAGGGGGCAGGGGCGGTTGTGTTATGTGAGTACCACAGTGGTCGGAATGATTGCGAGTAGTATTCCCTTATGGCCCCGGAAATTTAATCTATACCAACCCCAAAACCCCAGCCGAATCATTCAGGCCCCTAGAGTACCATGCTTTAGATTCTTTGGCCGCTTCTTTCTCTAAGATGCCCCTGTATTATCCTACTGGACGAATTTGGTTTAGGGGTTCAGGGGTTCGGGGGTTCGGGGGTTCGGGGGTTCAGGGGTTTAGGGGTTTAGGAGTTTAGGAGTTTAGGGGTTTAGGGGTTTAGGGGTTTACGGGTTTTGGGTTTAGGGTTTAGGGGTCCGGTCAAAACCCGGTTCCCTCTTTCAAGGTGGGTTTGGGTTTTATTCCCAAAGCCCTAGTGGCCCTAGTGCTCTTGGGTTTCCAGGCTGGGAAGTTTAGGGTTTAAAGTCTAAGGGCTGAGGGTTGAGGGCTTAGGGTTTAGGATTTGGAGCTTAGGGCTTAGGGTTTGTTGTCAACGCCAAGCCGCAGGACACCATGCGCTGGATATTCGCGGGGGCTGCGGCGTGCGGAGCCGTGCTGGGAAGCAGGCGCCAGCGGTGGTCATGCATGTCCAGTGCCGGGGTGTGGGACATAGGGCAACGTAGGGCGAACACTCCTAAACCCCAACCGCACCCCCTAAACCCTATACCTAGCAACTTTGGAGGGCCTTAGGGTAAGCTGATCCCTCAACTTGCGGGCGAGCCCGGGTTTGTGGAAGAGGCGGGCTCGAGGATATTTTAAAGCCCGGTATGTCTTGGCCGCCTCGACTTGTTGAATTGGAGCCAGGGTGTTGGGTTCAGGGTTCGAAGTGTTCGCCTGCTGGCGTTCGTTCTCTGGGGCCAAAGAAAACTAGAAACCCTAAACCCTAAACCCTAAACCCTAAACCCTAAACCCTAAACCCTAAACCCTAAACCCTAAACCCTAAACCCTAAACCCTAAACCCAAACCCTAAACCCTAAACCCTAAACCCTAAACCCTAAACCCTAAACCCTAAACCCTAAACCCTAAACCCTAAACCCTAAACCTAAACCCTAAACCCTAAACCCTGAACCCTAAGCCCAAAAACCCCAAAACCTCGCGAGCGTAGGTGGCTGGCCTCCAAGAGTCTGAGGACCTTCCCTTTACCTTAGAATTGGTTAGCAGGTTTAGGGTTTATAGGGTTTAGGGTTTAGGGTTTAGGGTTTTGGGTTTAGGGTCCAGGGTTCAGGGTCCAGGGTTTAGGGTTTAGGGTTTAGGGAATGAGGGAGCTAGGGCCTATATCTACCCTTTAAGGGGTTATATAGGGTACCCCATTCCCTCATTCCCTACTAACCAACAGTAAGTTACTTGAGGCTTTCAGAGTTTTGAGGGTTTAACGGCTTAGGCGTTCAGGGTTTCAGGGTTTCAGGGTTTCAGGGTTTCAGGGTTTCAGGGTTTCAGGGTTTCAGGGTTTCAGAAGTTTAGGGTTTCAAGGTTTCAGGGTTTCAGGGTTTCAGGGTTTCAGAAGTTTAGGGTAGGTGCCCCCCTCCTCCCCCTCCCCGCCCCTCCCCCTCTCTCCCCCCCGCCGCGCGACACAAAGAATCTTATCACGCTGTGGGACCTAAGGGGGGGAGCAAGCCGCCCTGGCATCAGTTGCAGTTGCCCGTGCCTTGTGGTGGCGGCTGTGGCGTGCACGGCGACCATCGCCGTGCGCGGGTGGGCCTGGACCCTGCGGGAGACGATGCAGGTGTTGGGCCTCGAGCGGGTCGCAGGTGAAGCCGCCGAGCAGAAGAAGGAGTACTGCTGCTTTGACCCTCAAAAAGGCCACGGCAAAGCTAACTGAGCTCGCGAATGTCGCGTCCCTCGGCGCGCAGGTAGACCAGAATGATACCCTCAACGGCCGCATCGTCTACAGGATCTGATGCTTCGCTCAGGAACCCCAAGGCTAAGCCACTAAGCTCATTCCTCGCAAAGCAAGAGCGCCCCTCAGAACCCAAGCCCCTGCAACCTTTGTTTTTAGGGGTTAGAGTGACCTAGACCCTAAAGTCTCAACCCTAAACCCTAAACCCCAAACCCGAAACCCCCAACAAAAGAACCTCAAGCATCCCGAAGTCCTAAACCCTAAGCATCCCTAAGCCCTAAACCCTAAACCCTAAACCCTCAACCCTCAACCCCAAACCACAGAACGCCCACAAGGAGTGCCCGCCTGTCCCTCTGGGATTCGACCTGGGTGCCTGGCTGGCACGCTGCCGGGCGCATGGGGCCCACGGCGTGCCAAAGGTGAGGGTTTAGGGTTTAGGGTTTAGGGTTTAGGGTTTAGGGTTTAGGGTTTAGGGTTTAGGGTTTAGGGTTAAGGGTTTAGGGCTCAAAGAGTCAAAAAGGGGGCAATGCAGGGTTTAGGGTTTGGGGTCTAGGGTTCAGGGCTTCCAAAGTATCAACAGGGGATCAGCAGAAGGGTTAGTTTTCGGTTTAGGGTATAGGGTCTAGGATTCAGGGTTTCTTGAATCGGAAAAGGGTTTGGAGGGAGAGTGCAAAGGTTGAACGAGCAAGTGATTCTACTGTATTTGGGTCTACCAAGCGAGACGGGGCCCTGGCCTTTCTGGTTCTTCCTGTTCTGTGTTTCATGGTCTTGGAGTGAGTCGCTCCTCACGATTGTCGGGTTCCATCCCCCCCCGAAGCAGCTCCAGGCCTGCAAGCCCTAAAGCCCATGTTGGGGTTTAGGGTTTAGGGTTTAGGGTTTAGGGGTTTAGGGGTTTAGGGGTTTAGGGGTTTAGGGGTTTAGGGGTTTAGGGGCTTAGGGGCTTAGGGTTTAGGTGCTTACCAGACTGAGGTGCTACGTAGCCCCAGGCTAGCGTCCCTTTCAGGTGGAGCCGCAGGGCTTCCGGCCGTGGTCGCCCGAGATTTGGCAGGTCCTGGTGCAGACGCACGTGCGTGGCTCGCCGAGCCCTAAGCCCTAAGCCCTAAGCCCTAAACCTTAAAACCCTAAACCCTAAACCCAAAACCCTAAACCCAAAACCCTAAACCCTAAACCCCAAATCCTAAACCCTAAACCCTAAAGCTTGTCATGTTCGCGGCCTTCAAAACCCTAAAGACCAAAGCCCTAAAAACAAAACCTGAAGCCCGGTTTTGATGGTGTATGGGTTCAATGTTGAGAGCTTTGCCCAGATCACAGCAGGCAAGGTTTTATGGTTCAAGCTTCAGGGTTTGGGGTTTTGGGCTTTAGCGCTATAATAGTTCATGGAATCCAGAAAGTAGGGTGTAAGGCGTCATTTGGGATCGGGGTCCTGTATTGAGTTAACCACGGTGAGTGGGGCCTTACTGAAGCAGACCCCAAGCCCTCCAACCTTGCCGCCCTAAACCCTATACCACATACCCTATGCCCTAAACCCTAAACCCTAAACCCTAAACCCTAAGCCCTAAACCCTAAACCCTAAACCCTAAACCCTAAACCCTAAACCCTAAACCCTAAACCCTAAACCCTAAACCCTAAACCTAACCCCCAAGCCCCGAACCAAACTCCCCAAACCACGAAAGCGATGGCGACGCTGAGGCATGATCGACTGCGACGTCTCCGACGCAGGGATGGAGGTGCGCATGGGGCCAGGTAAGTTGGTTAGGGTTTAGGGTTTAGGGTTTAGGGTTTAGGGTTTAGGGTTTAGGGTTTAGGGTTTTTAGAGACCTTTAAGAGTTTTTTTTGGGTGCTTTTTAAGGGGGGTTTAAGGGGGTTGTTAGGGGGCTTAAACGGGTTCGAGCTAAAGTTCAGGGTCTACAGGACCCTGTTCCAGTGGGGCCCTCTGGCATGTTTGTCTTCGGCTTGAAGAGGACTTCTTCGCATCATGTTCCGCCGTCGTGGTGAATCCAAAGCTTAGGTTTTAGGTTTTAGGGTTTAGGGTTTAGGGTTTAGGGTGTAGGGTTTAGTGTTTAGGGCGAGAGGGGTTTTGGTTTCGAAAGGGCGAGATAGAAATGACTCATCGATGCCACGCCAGGCTTTCAGAAGTGCTAAATCTTGGTGAGGTGATCTTAGGTAGGAAGATCTATTCAGAAGGGCTCAGATCTTGCTGTACTTCGGGGCTTCCAGTTCAGAAAATTCAGAACAGGCCTCAAAAGTGCTCTCGCGGCAGGAAACCATCTCATGTTGACACGTTGCCTATCTCCCCAGAAACCCTGAACCCTAAACCCCTAAACCCCTAAACCCTCCTAACCCCTAAACCCCTAAACCCCTAAACCCCTAAACCCTCCTAACCCCTAAACCCTAAACCCTAAACCCTAAACCCTAAACCCTAGAACCCCTAAAGCCGCAGGCCATCAACCTCTGGCGCGGCGCCCGCCTTCATCTGCAGCATTGCCGGCTCCAAAACTGCGGCCAGGGCATCAGCTGCTCGGCTTGTCGGGGTTTAGGGTTTAGGGGTTTATGGTTTAGGTTTAGGGTTTTAGGGTTTAGGGGTTTAGGGTTTAGGGGTTTAGGGGGTTTAGGGGTTTTAGGGTTCAGGGTTTAGGGGTTTAGGGTTTAGGGGTTTAGGGTTTAGGGGCTCAGGGGTTTAGGGGTTTAGGGTTTAGGGGGTTAAGGGCTTAGGGGTTTAGGGGCTTAGGGGTTTAGGGTCTAGGGGTTTTCGGGTTTAGGGTTTAGGGTTCAGTGGGGTTTGGGGTACCCCCGTATAGGTTTCGGGATTTTGGGTTGTGTGTGAGACTCTTTTCGTTTTTCGACAAGAGGGGGGGGTGTTCAGGGCTATACGCCCCCTGGAGTGCACAGTCCCAGATGATCCTTACCGTGCCCATCAAATTTGCCTGGTTTCTCACAGGTGGCTAAAGCAAGCGGAAGCCGCCAAGATGTATGTGGGGGTTTACGCAATAAGGAGCCCCTCAAGATAGACCCCCAAATAGTAGGATCCCCTTATAATTCCGGAAACCCCAATGTAGGGTTTGGGGTTCAGGGTTTAGGGTTTAGGGTTTAGGGTTTAGGGCTTCAGGCATGTACTTCGAACACCCCCACTCGCTTCAAAGCTCGGCTGAAGTTGCGGGTCTGGTGTTTGGGGTCCCTAAACCCTAAGCCCTAAGCCCTAAACCCTAAACCCTAAACCCGAAACCCGAAATCCTAAACCCTAAACCCTAAACCCTGAACCCTGAACCCTGAACCCTGAACCCTAAACCCTAAGCGCTATGCCCAAGCCCTAAGCCCTAAGCCCTAAGCCCGAAGCCCTAAGCCCTAAGCCCCAAGCCCTAAACCCTAGACCCTAGACCCTAAACCCTAAACCCTAAACCCTAAACCCTCAACCCTAAACCCTAAACCCCATAGCTCTGTGGCCTCCGCTAGCTGCTGTTCTCTAAATCCCTCACCGTGTTGTTGTGGTGTTGAATGAACATCAAGGGCTTGGGATGTTCCCCCTTATACTGGCAGTCCTGAATAGGCGATTATTAAAGTGGTTAGGGTTTAGCAGGGTTTCGGGTTTAGGGTTTAGGGTTTAGGGTGTACTAAGGACTGTTAGTAGAAGGGGGGAACATCCCAAATCGTGGCTTCGATTGCAGAGCGAGCCCGACACCCGCAACCCCCAAAAGGCGCAAGCCTCTACGAGAGCAGGGCGAGGCTCGCGGACTTTGCGCCTTCGCTTCCCCCAAGCCAGAAGCCTCTGAGCCCTAAACGCCAAGACTTGTGGACCTTGAGCCCGAACGAGTTTGGGGTTCAGGGTTGTGGGTTTTGTGTTTAGGGTTGTGGGATTAGGGTTTGGGGCTGTGGGTTTAGGGTTCACCTCTCTCCTTTCTATATTCTTACTGCACGCGCGAATGGCATATAAAATCCTATAAAATCCAAAATGCTTTGGTGAGCCGCGCGAACACAGATAAGATAGAGTACGCAAGGGAGAGGACTAGTAATCTTAACGCCCAAGACTTTGTGAGTTTGTTTCTATGAGTTCTTTTTTTCACTTCGTTTATTCGTTGCCTGGAGCTCTGAAGCCCTGTCGTCGAACCTCCGAACTCAAACCGTAACCCTTAAACCCGAAACCCCTAAACCCTAAGCCTTAACTCATATATACATCTATATAACTATATGTCTATATCTATGTCTATTTCTATATCTATATATCTATATATCTATATATCTATATATCTATATATCTATATATCTATATATCTATATATCTATATCTCTATATATCTATATATCTATATATCTATATATCTATATATCTATATATCTATATATCTATATATCTATATATCTATATATCTATATATCTATATATCCATATATATATATATATATCATTTTCGGTCAATGTGCCCACCAATTTGTTGGCAATTTCGGTCAATCGGCGCTGGTTTTTTTTTTTTTTTTTTTTTTTTTTTTTTTTTTTTTTTTTTTTTTTTTTTTTTTTTTTTTTTTTTTTTTTTTTTTTTTTTTTTTTGCGATTTCAGTCAATCTGCCACCTGCGTTTTGATAATTTCCGTCCATCGGCACCCGGTGAGCTTTATTTTTTCTAAATGGTATGGGATTCTCTGGGTGGGTGAGTGTTCTTCTTGACTAGTGAAAGCTAGTCCATGAGATGCTGAACCCTAAGCCCTAAACCCTAAACCCGAAATCCGAAACCCTAAGCCCGAAACCCTAGCCCTAAACCCTAAACCCCCTAAATTCCTAAACCCTAAGCCCTAAACCCTAAACATCATAAATTCCCTAAACCCTAGCCCTAAACCCTAAATCCTAAACCCAAAACCCCCTAAACCCCCTAACGACCACCGCACTCCGAGCCGAGGAGCCCTTCCAGGAGCCTTATGACTTGGTCATTGAAGGTTGCCAGCCCCCCTCTCTGCAAGCCGGTTGAGGGTTTAGGGTTTAGGGTTTAGGGTTTAGGGCTAGGGTTTAGGGTTGAGTTTAGGGGCTAGGGGTTTAGGGGTTTAGGGGTTGGGGTTTGGGGTTTAGGGATTTGGGGTTTAGGGTTTAGGGGTAAAAGGGCATTTGTGGAAGGCCATTTAAAACCTTTCTCCCACCCCACGCCGTCCAAGGCGGCAATGCCACCCTAACCTATGCCTTCTAGGGTTTAGGCCTAAACTCAGGACAATTGCTTTTAGGCCTAAACTCAGGACAATTGCTTACTTCCAATAATTCCTTTTTCCGTCACCAATAATTTTGCTTGCAGGGCCAAGGGGGAGAGGTGAGGGTCTGCTCCAGGGCCCGAGGCTCCCTGGTCCTTGAGCACGCTGTGGCGAGGGGGGGGTTTAGGGTTTTGGGTTTAGGGTTTAGGGTTTGGGGTTTAGGGTTTAGGGTTTAGGGTTACAGCAGAACATCCTCAAAAGTTTGGGGCTCCGGGTTTCGGACTTGGGGACCCGTACTGGTCCCCGAGGAGAACCAACCTCCGAGTTGTGGGAGGCGGGCAAACGACCTGGGTCGGCTTGCGCCATCGAGGTCGAGGGCTTAGGCGACGCCCCCCAACTGTAGGGGAGCGGCCTAGGCCTTGAGTTTAGGGTTTAGGGTCAGGGTTCAGGGTTCAGGGTTCAGGGTTTAGGTTCAAGGTTTGCTGTGATAGGGCGTAGATGCTGTGAAGGTTAGGTTTCGGAAAGCTTCGTGAGGTGCGAAACAAGCAGCTTTGGCCCGATTGTGGAGGGCCATCTAATATTTTGCTCCCACACCACGCCGTCCAAGGCTTTGCCCACCCAAACCTATTCCTTTTAGGGTTTAGGCCTAAACTCAGACAACAGTCCACTTCTAAAAACTTATTCAGTTTCATGACGTTCGTTGGGTCTGAGAGTCAAAGGAATGGGGGGTCGGGGCAGTTTCAGGCAATCTCAGGGCGGTGGGGTCCAGGGCCAGCAGGGCGGGGGCCAAGCGCCGCCTCTAGGGGGGCGGGCCCTGAGGATCTAGGGTTGGGGGTAGGGGGTTTCGGGGTTTAAGGGGTTCGGGGTTTAGGGTTTAGGGTGTAGGGGTTGAGGGGTTTAAGGTTTAGGGGTTGAGGGGTTTAGGGGTTTAGGGGTTCAGGGGTTTAGGGGTTTAGGGGTTTAGGGTTTAGGGTTTAGGGTTTAGGGTTTAGGGTTGGGGTTTAAGCTGCCCCCCTCTCAGCATGCGGTTTAGGGTTTAAGGTTTAGGGTTTAGGGTTCAGGGCTTCATCAGGTTTCAGGGCTTCAGCGGTTCAGGGCTTAGTGTTTGAGAGCTGCTTGCCGCGTCTGGGAGCCAGCTGAGGCAGAAGAGTCCACTCAAGGTTAAGGGTTGAGGGTTGAGGGTTAACGCTTTAGGGTTTCGTTTGCAGCCGCTTGGGCACCAGAACGGAACGCGCTGGAGCGAGGCACTGGGTGCTCGGTTTCCAAGCAATATTAGTGTAATAAATGCGCGAATGAAGGGAGCAAATGAGCGTGGGAAAGATATTAATTCCTGGATCATTGAATTGGATTAGAAAATGAAGGGGTTTTTGGTAAACTAGAAAGTGAATTACATTATATTAGCGAACCGCGTGAATGAATATTACAAGGTGTAGCGAATGAACAAGAACTAGTTTATTATTATTACGCGGGGTTATTATTACTTTTTTCCCTGCTTGCATTATAATAACAGTGTATAAAGTGAGAAATGAAAGAGCGAAGTGAATGAATGTACGAACGCATGACATTACATTTAAGATTTTATCGCGTGCTATTTTATTATAATTCACTATGTACACGCGCATCCTAATATACTATGAGAAACCCAGTAATGACTTCCAGAAGATTATGATTTAAGGGCGTCTTCTTGGCGCTGCATTTCTCTGCACCACTAAGAACACCCGTTTCATGCTGAGGTCTCGCCTAAGCTGGGGTTTAGGGTTTAGGGTTTAGGGTTTAGGGTTTAGGGTTTAGGGTTTAGGGTTTTGAGGGAACCCTAAGTTGGGTTTGGGGCATAGGGAACCCCAAATGCTTAAAATGTAGCCTGAAAGGTTTAGGATTCAGGGATTTAGGGTTCAGGTTTGTCGGGTTTAGGGATTCAGGGCCGGGATTTAGGCATTTATGTAGTATAGGGGTCTGAACAATTAGAATAGGATTTTGGGGGTCATTATAGTATAATCATCAAGGGACCATAAGGGACTACTATTAGTAACTATTCCGACCCCTATAGTAGGGTTTAGGGTTTAGGGTTTAGGGTTTAGGATTTAGGGTTTAGGGTTTAGGGGTTTAGGGTTTAGGCTTAAGGGTTTATTCTTCACGGCGAGCCCAGGTTCGCGGACTTCGGCCGACACGATTGGTCCAGCGCCGTGTCCTTGGGACGCTTCGCCACAACAGGCCTCACACCACTTTCCCCGAAAAACCCGAACCCTAAACCCTAAACCTTAAACCCTAAACCCTAAACCCTAAACCCTAAACCCAAAGCCCTAAGCCCTAAGCCCTTAACCCCGATCCCTAAATGGCAGAGTTGCTCTGAAACCCTAAACCCTAAACCGAGTCCCTGAACCCTAAACGCTACCCGAAACCCTAAACCCCAAAACTTCTGGGCCTGAAGCCATAAGTTCCGAGCCCCATACGGGGAGGCTTCTACCGCGAGTCTGCCCTGACCAAGAAGTGTGTGGCGGGAGGCTGGCGGGCCGTAAGGGACCGGGCTTTCCAAGCCAAACCCTAAACCCCAAACCCTAAACCCCAAACCCCAAACCCTAAACCCTAAACCCTAAACCCTAAACCCTAAACCCTAAACCCTAAACCCTAAACCCGAAACCCTAAACCCTAAACCCTAAGCCTAAACCCTAAAACCCCAAGCCCTAAACCCCGAAACCCCTAAACCGCAAACCCTAGACCCTGAAGCCTCCAAAAGCTAAAACCCCAAAACCCTAAAGCGCCTAAGCCCTTAGCCCTGAACCCGAAACATGCCAGAGCTCTAGGGATTGTGTTGGGCTCTCACCATGGAATCCCAGGAGTCGATACCGCTTGTGGGTCGTGTAACGTAAGGGCCTGAATGAATGAGAAGAGGGCTTCGGGAGTGCGTCTAGGGTTTCAGGGGGGGCGTTTTAGGGTTTGGTTTAGGTTTAGGGTTTAGGGTTTAGGGTTTTGGGTTTTGGGTTTCGGGTTCAGGTGTTCTTGTAACTCTAACACCCGAACCCCTTTCCCCCTCTCCAAGGTGACCTCCGCCTGCGCGCCTGCTTCGTGGGAAACACCGTGCCGCTTGCCTCGCTGGCGGCGCAGGGATTGGGCACCTATAACCCAATTAGGGTTTATAGGGCTTAGAGTTCAGGGTTTAGGGAGGGGTTAGGGTACTTCTCCACTTATACGTCTGCTTATGCTCTACGTTAATGAGTTAATTAGGGGGCTTAAAAGTGCAGCTACCCTGAACCCTGAACCCTAAACCCTAAACCCTAAACCCTAAACCCTAGACTCCAAACCCTAGTTGGGGTTTTCTAGTACCCATGAACCTCCGACAGGGAACCTTGGGATCTCGGGTTCTAGGGTTTTAGGGTTCTGGGGTTCTAGGGTTTTACGCAGGGTTTTAGGGTTGCAGGGCTTCGCGGTTTTTAGGAAGCCCTAAACCCCAAGCCCTAAGCCCTAAACCCGAAACCAGCAGCCCCAATCGTCGACC